CCGGATTGGGGGCCCCGACACCCGACGGAGAGCGAAAGCGAGGAGAGGGGCCACTCCGGATCGAAGTCTGATGTCTGTAGAAGATGGAGAGTTTAGTAAGATCGGTAAGAGGCGGATCAATGCGGCGGAACGCCATGGTGCATTATTCCTACGCGTAAAGGTGCACACAGGACCAAGAAAAAGAAAACGCGCCGAGCAAATGCCAGACAGAAGAGTATGGGAAGTAGCATTAATATAGAGATCTAACTCAATAAAGTACAATCTTCATTATATACTAGCTATTATACCGCATATCAAGCGTATCATATAATAAAACTATATGACTATAACATAATGAATATAATAAACGTAATATAATGACAATTAATTAGTATATATACATACAATATATTATATATTATAATATATATAAAAGTATATTAATATTATATATTATTAATAGAGAGAAGACGAATAGAGATCGGGGATACAGCAAAGAATATAGAAATACAGAAAAGTAAGAAAAATATAGAAGTGAATATACAAAGAAAGAAGAAAAAGAGAATAAAACTAACGAGAATGATAGGATCATATGAAAGCACATATTCTAACGTGACGGGGAAAGAGAAAAGAGCGAGATGAGGGACAGAGAAGCAATTATGGGGAAACCGGATTACCGAGATACAAGATTGAAGATGAAGAGAAAAAAACAATGAGAGAAACTGCGCCATGAAGAGGATAAAGGAGAGACGACAACAACTGAGTGAGGTAAAAGAAGAAGAGAAACAGGAAGCAAATCACGCACATAGATAGAAGGAGCATCAGAACGCGAAGGGACAGCCTCAAGAAAGAATAGAAGGACGAGAGATCACCGAAATCCCCTGCAGAATTCAGCACCTCATCTTCAACTACGACACCTCTCCAGCACCAGCCCGCGACAAATCTGCATCCTCAGCCACACTAGCAATCCTACTAACTCCTTGAGCCCACATGATAGTCAGAGACCACGAACAGAGACAGAAGGGTGAAACACCGTATCGAGGAGATCCTATCCGAGTAGAATATACAGCAAGCCGCGGAATGATCGGCCGCACGCTGCGACACCTGTATTCGAAGCCTACCTGACTGAAGACGCGTTTGAAGATAAATTATATTGAGAGGAATGTAAGATATATGAAGGACGAATTTACAGAGAGGGAGACTGCGCATGGAAAGGCATTAGGAAATCGAGGGTCGAGAAGAGAGGAAGAGAAGAGGGGAGAGGAGGAGAGAGAGAGAGGAAGAATAAAAAAACGAGAAGAGAGAAAAGAAAGAATGAAGAGAGAAGAAGGAAAGAGAAGAGGACAGAGAGAGAGAGAGAGAGAGAGACGAGAGAGAGGAGAGAGAGAAAGGGAGAGAGATGAAGAGAGAGAGAGAGAGGAGATGAGAGAGAGATGAAGAGGAAGAAGAGAGAGAGACAATGAGAGAGAGAATGAGAGAGAGAGAAAGAGAGAGAGATGAGAGAGAGAGAGAGAGAGAGAGAGAGAGAGAGAGAGAGAGAGAGAGGAGAGAGAGGAGAGAGAGAGAGAGAGAGAGAGAGAGAGAGAGAGACGGAGAGAGAATAGCAAGAGAGGACGACAGAGAATGAGAGAGAGAAGAGATGCGAGAGAGAGAGATAGAGAATTGAGAGAGAGAGAGAATTGAGAGAGGGAGAGAGAATGAGAGAGAGAGAGAATGCATTAATATGCTGAATGATTTGAGAAGAGAGAATGCAATTAATTTGTATTGATTACACATTACAACTTGTCTTAAGATTTTTTTATTATCCCTCTAATATCAACAAATTATGGAATTCATAGCATACAGACTCCGGCAATTCAAACATACTGACCATTTGTGCGATCGTTGCCATATGAGATACCGATATTTTGGCCATCGTTGCCGTGACTAAATTGGCCGTTATTATTTAAGCCATTGTTGTCGTAGTTAGACTGGTCATTTATATTTTGGCCATTGTTACCGTAGTTAGATTGGTCATTTATATTTTGGCCATTGTTGTTGTAACCAAAATGACCATCATCATTTTGGCCACTGTTTCCAAAACCGACGTGGGCATTTATGTGGTCATTTTGGCCATGGATGATCTGGCCAACATTAATTTGGCCGCCATCGTCATAACTAATTTGACCATTGTGGTCATTGTTGTCGTAGTTAAATTGGGCTGCATTATTTTGACCCCCGTTGCCAAAATTTGTATGGTCATTGGTTTCGTAACTGATGTGGCCATTTTGAGTATTGTCATTACTGATAATGTGGCCAATATTATGTCCATCATTACCAAAGTTGATTTGATTATTTTGACCATTGTCATAGTTAAACTGGCCTTCATTGTTTTGGATATTGCTACCCAAATGAGCGTGGTCATTGTTTACAAACGTATTTTGATCATTTTGACCGTTGTCATGGACATTGTGGCCACCGTTATTTTGGACATCATCGCTGTAAGTTACATGACCGTCATTATTTTGGCCATGACCTGACTGAATGATTTGGCCACCATCATTATGGATTATTTGGTCACCGTTGGTATAAGTGACCTGATCAGTAAAGCCATTTTGATTACCATCGGTATAACTGATTTGGATATTTTGGTCGCCATTCCCGTGGCTGTCATGGCTGCTTTGCCCATCGTTTCCGTAGCTAATCTGTGTGCCTTGGCCGTCGCTGCCGTAGCTCGTCTGGACGCTGCCGAAGCTGATGTGACTCGACTGGCTGGCGCTGCCGTAACCACTTGTTGAAGTCGAAGCAGTCTGGCCAAGCCCGCCGTAGCCGACGAAGCCCCCGCCCACACTGCCGGACCCGTAACCTGCCTGGCCGCCCGCAGCGTGGGCCATGAGCCCCGACTGGCCATAGGTTCCCCGGCCACCGTGACCGCCGTACCCCTTCGCCTTGGCCATGGCGACGGCGGCCGCAGCCTCGGCTCGGGCAGCGGCTGCGACCGCTCCGTTCAGATCGCTGACGGCAAGCTGCTGCTGGAAGCTGAGGCTGCTGGAGATCTGCAGAGCCTGCCAAGCCATGGCGTCCTGTGCGGCCCGCACGGCCTGCGCGGCTTGGAGAGCCTGCTCCGCCTGAGCCGTGACGGCCTGGACCTCCGCTTGGGCCGCGTCCAGCTGGCGGATCAGGGAGAGGGCCTGCGAGTACACGCTCTCCGCCGACGCGGCTGCCATCGTGGCTTTGCCCGCCAGGGAAGACTCCGAGAAGAAGGCCGCCTGGGCGCCCTGGAGAGCCTGGGTAAGCTGAGCCACGTCAGCCTTCTGCTGGTCTGCTGCCTTCTGAGCCACCTGTGAGGCCGCTGATGCAGCCTTGGCCGCCTCTCCCGCCGCAGCAGAAGCCGCAGCTGTAGCAACAGTTTTCAGCCCCGCGGCAGCAGCAGTGGCCTCCGCCGCGGCCTGGTTGGCTGCCTGCGAGACGCCCTTGGAGTGCTGGCCTCCGGTGCCCGCGCCCACGACCAGGTACCCCAGGGCCCCGCCCCCTGCGCCGTCGCCGTGTCCACTGCCGCCGAGGGAGCCTCTCTTTTCCTTCAAGAAATAAATGAATAGGATTCGCTTAGATGTCACACTATGTAAATGAATTAATAAAAACCGAAAGTGTAATCTTGAATATTCAAAAAAATACAGATAATTTTTACGGAACTTATATACTTGCCCTTTGAGTTTCTTCAGTAGAGTTAGCTGCTGCCGCCAGCCCTGTAGCAACGGGAATTAAAGAAAGTTTTAAGATCCGAAACTGTAGTAAAACAACATCAATGGTCGTTTGAAAGGGGTAATGATAACGGTATAAAAAGGTAATAACAATAATAATTCAATCTCTGTTAACGGGTTGTAACTTATTATCATTGTATTGTTATATTGGCATTATCATTATATATAGTACTGCCACCACTACCTCTACAAGTACTATTATTATGATTTGTTATCATTAATATCATTATAGTTATCATAATCGTCATTGCCATCCATAATATCGCAATCATGATAATCAACAATGATATCTAATCTACTATAACCACAGAGGAATAATTTCGCACCAGCACAGAAGCAAAGAGTTATCAAGATTCTTATGACCGCCATGATTCCAGAAGTGAAGATGCCATCAGCTTTTTCGAATCCGGGTTTATATACCTTCTTGAAAACGAGTTACCAGTTAGCACATTATATTTGATTTTTTGATTTTCTTTTGTTCCCTATTGTGTGCTAATGTCTGATCATCTTATTCTTGGCGATGCTGAAGCAATCAGATATAAGAGAGAGAGAGTGATGAGCACTTAATGAAAAGGTTTTCGGAAAGTTATTACAAAGACTGGGTGTTGTAACGTTCGGCCACCTTTGTGTGAGGGCGAGAGAGGCGCACCTTGTACTCGGGTGTGTTACAATATCGAAGGTTCCAGAAAATAATACCGTAACATGAATAGAGATGGTCTGAATGCCTTAACTCGTAGGTACATTATACACACGAGTGGGTGCACATGGAATGCGTGCACAGACCACTCCGTACATGTGTTACTTTTATATACGTATAGGCATACGCTCACAAACACATACACATACACTCACACATATACTCACACACACATACACTCACAAACACACACACACTTACAAACACAAACACGCACTCACAATCACACACACACAAAAACAAACACTCGCACCCACATTCACACAGACACACACTCACAAACACACAAAAACACGCACCCACAATCGCACACACGAACACTCACAAACACACAAACACACACACACAAACACACACACACACAAACACATACACACACAAAAACACACTCGCACCCACAATTGCACACACACACACAAACGCACTGTTCTTACACAGACATTCACCCAACCGACATTGCAGTGCTTAGAAATCTCAATTTTCCAGTCCCTTGGAAAAGGACAACGGCAGATCTTAGTGTGGTATTACTTGCAGTTTATAACCATTGACAATTACCAAACGAAGCATGCAACTTACCGCTGCAT